AATGATAATATCTGTACTAAACTCTACTAAACTGTTACTTTGGTAGACAATATAAATGGATAATATGTAAAGAAAGTAATTTTCTGCCTTATTAGGAATAAAAGATTTATGAGGGTAAAAGAAATTTCTAAATTAATGAAAGTGGATAATAGAAGAGTTTATGATGTTGTTAATTTACTCTCCATTTTCCCTAATGAAGAAGAGAGTTTTGTTATAAGAATTAATAAAGATAACATTTTTTATTTTAAATGGCGTCATTGTTTTATTGATGGTATTAGTCTTAAAGATAGACTTCAAGAATTAGTTAAAAGAAATTGTTTATTATTTAATAGAATGAATGCATTAAAATTAAGTGTCAATAAAAAGATTCCATTCAAAAAATTTGCATTAGAAGTTTTTAAATCAGATGAAGAAATCCCAGAAGATGTACAACTCTTATTAATTCAACTTAATTCTAGTTATTTTTATTTTGCAAGAATTATGAAGTTCAGTTTATACTGTTTTTGTTGAAGAGAAATTAAAATGAAAACAGTGTCAGTTTCAACTCTTTTATGAAATAATAAAAGAAAAAGAAAAAACTATTTAAAACTATTGAAAAAAGAAAAAACAAAAAAAAGAATAAAAATAGTCCAACCCTGTTTGAACTCGAAAAATGACCTATTAGTTGTTCTCAAGTCCATGAAGGTATGTTATGTTTTTTTATAATAGAAAGAATGAAAAAAAAATAAATTAACCACTAGATTAACGTAGCTAATCCAGCAACTGGAAGAATTAAGAAATTTGATTTTGAAGAAGAAAAGAATTACAGACCATTCCTTGATAAGAGAATCGGACAAGAAGTTGATGCTTCATCACTTGGAGACGAATTCAAAGGATATATCCTTAAAATTACAGGTGGATGTGATAAGGATGGATTCCCAATGATGACAGGAGTAGCTACCAACAATCGTGTCAGACTTCTTCTTGATGGAAGAAACGGATGTTACAAACCACTTAGAAATGGAGAAAGAAGAAGAAAGACAGTTAGAGGAGCTATTGTTGCAGGTGATATTTCAGTATTGAACACAGTTGTAGTTAAGAAAGGAGAAGGAGAAATTGAAGGAGTTACTAATGATGCTCTTCCAATGAGAGCTGGACCAAAGAGAGCATCTCATATTAGAAAGCTCTTCAATCTTTCACAAAAGGATGACGTTAAGAAATTCGTTATTAGAAGAGAAGTTGCTAAAAAACATCCAAAAGAAGGAAAATCAACAAAAAGATCTAAAGCACCAAAGATTCAAAGACTTGTTACTCCAAGAAGACTTCAACATAAGGCTCAAAAATTAGAAGCTAAGAAATTACATAAACTTGCTATGCTTAAGGAAGCTAAACGTTATGCTGCTATTCTTAACAGATATAAGGTTCTTAAAGCACATGGAATGAAAGTTGTCTCATTTGCTGATACTGATGCTGTTTTCAAACAAAATAAAGCTGGATCAAAGAAAGCTGCTTCTAAGGGAAAGAAGGTTAATTCCAAGAAAACTGGAAAGAAATAAGAAGTTTATTGATGAGATTTGAGTAGATCTATATTTTCGGTTTAATATTCTTTTTGTTATTATGGAAACAAAGTAATCTTTAAAAGAAGATTTCAACTTTATAGTGTTTTATTAAATTTTATATTATTAATGTTACTATTTATTCAAAAGAAATCTTAATAAAATATTGATACTTTTTTCAAGAAAGAGAAAAACAAAAAAAAGAAAAAAGTTACTTTATTAAATATATTAAAGTAATTGTGTTTTGTTATAGTAAAATTGTCAATAAGAGTAAAATTAATTTAAAAGACCATTTGCGATAACCAAAAAGTTTTTAAACTATCAACCGTTTAAGATTTGTTTATTTGTAAATTTATGTTTTATAGTCACAAGAACGAATACGGTTGTACAACTAACAAAACAGTACATTAAGAGGACATAAAAAATAGTTGAGGCAATTTTTACATTACCTTACACAAGGATACAACTATCCATGTTCGAATTTAAGTTTTAAATAGATTTTAGTAGTTGAAAACCTATAAACATAGTAGATGAAATAATTCTTTCTAGATATTTAACAATATTAAAAAATAAAACTCAATTTTATTCTTTAAAAGAAAAAAAAACTAGAATAAAACAAAAATGAGTTGTTATGAATTAATAAATCAATTTTCCACAACCAAAGAAACAGTCATCTCCAAGGATAGCAGTCTTTGGCAATGACCCAAGAGATAAAAGAGAAGAACAATTTGTAAAACAATCATTTCCAAGAGATGTAGTTAATGAGGGGATTTGAATTGATTGTAACTTAACACAATTACAAAAACTTCTATTTCCAATAGAAAGGATAGATAAAGGAAGGGTAATTGTTTGTAAAGAGATACAATTAGAGAAACAAAAATCAGGAATTTTTTGAATTGGGGAATGAAGGAATACTTCTGAAAGTTGTAAACAATTATTAAAACAACCAACTTCTATTTTTGTTATTGTTGATGGGATACAAATTGATTGGAGTGTTGCACAATCTTTAAATGATTGATCAGATAACTTTAAGACTCCTTGAGGCAAATCAATTGATGTTAAAGAAGAACATCCACTAAAGCATTGATATGGAATCACTTTTAATGAAGAAGGAAGACTTATAGTACTCAAAGAAGAACAACGATAGAAACAATAATCTCCTAATCGAGTTAATGAAGAAGGAAGATTAATCTCTTTTAGTGAGATACAGCCACAAAAACAACCATTTTCAATTACTTTAATTGAAGGTGGGAGCGAAATTAATGTGACTAATAAACATCCTTCAAAACAATAATTATCTAAACGATCAATAGATTCTCTAATACTAATTGATCTCAAAGAGTGTTCATCTTGAAAACATTTATTTCCAAAGGATTTAACTTCAGTTGGTACTTCAAATGAAGATTGATTCATATCAAATGAAATTGGAATTTTATTGATTGAATTAATAGTTGAAGGCAATTCACAACCTACAAGTTTGAGTTTATTAAAAAAAAGATGTTTTCCAACAATCCAGTAAGGAGCAGGGACATTAATTTTTTCTAAAGAAGAACAGCCATAAAACTGTTGTCTATTGAATGAAGTTAAATTTGAAGGGATTGATAATGATTTGAGAGAAGAACAATTGCAAAAGCATTGAATTCCAAAATAAGTTATTGAAGAGGGAATAGATAGTGAAGTTAAATTAACACAAAAATCAAAACAGTGATCACCAATTGAAAGTAACATTTCTGGTAATTGAATTGAATTTAAAGAAGAACATCCAGAGAAACAATTATATCCAATATATTTTAAGGATTGAGGGAGTTCTATTTTTTGAAGGGATATGCAGTTATGAAAAGTATAATTACAGAGTCTTGTTATTGAAGAAGAAAGAACAATTGAAGTTAATGAAGTACAATTCATAAATGATTTATCTCCAATTTCAACAATTGAATAAGGAACTTCAAAAATTGATAAAGAGGGATTATTGCAATAACATTCTTTGCCAATTTTCTTAACTTGAGGTGGAAGAATATCTCCAAATTTCTTTTTGTCTTCTTTTGAATAATAAATAAATTTACATGTATTTCCTTTTTTTATTTCTTTTAAACTTCTTTGATATGAAATTCTACAATAAAAACAAATCTTCAAAGAAGGTAAAGACTCATAGAATGTGTCCTGTAAAGAAAATAAGTTATAAGTGTTTATGTTAGGAAAGAATTTAATTGTTTCATCATTTAGTGGTATTGGATTTGATTTAAAATATTCAAATAAATATTGAAACTTCTTTGAAGAGAGAATAATGTTTTTATAATCTTCTATTGTTTCAAAATATAGAGCAACACGTTGAATTGAATCAATAGTTAAAGTATGTCTCATGAATATGAAATTTATAGATCTAGTTAAAACACAACAAGAAGAAAGAAAAGCAAGGACAAAGGAAACAATTTGACATGAGGTTTTTTAAGATGATAAATTCCAAAGAGGGAAAGTCGTGTTATTTTTAAGATAGAATCCGAAAATAAAATTCTTCAAATAAATAAGTTCTTCTACTTCCTTCTTCATTCTTATTGGAGTAAAATTTTAATAGTTTCTTTGATATATTAATTTTAATAAATTAATTTAATTATTCATAACAATTATTCATTCATTTCTTCATTAATTTGATTTTGAATTGTTTGACTTTGTTTCTTTTTACCTTTAACTTTTGATTTTCTAAAAGGTAATGAATATGGATGTGTCTCAAGAATAATTCGTTCTTTTTCTTTACTTGTCCTAAAATCAACACTATTAGGTTGTTCAATTTTTGTCATTCTCACTGTATTAATTTCAAGAGGACTTGGAATAGATTGTTCTGCTGGGATTAACATATTTAATGAACACCGGTCAAGTACTTGAAAAGGGGCTAATGAATCTACACTAAGTTGTTTAGTAACAATACCAATAACATTAATTTTTTTATCACAAATTCTAATTAATAATTTGTTTTTACATTTCTCAGAATGAACAGGGAGTGTTGATGCACATTTATCATTTGGTCTAAATGAAAACGTTAGTTTTTGTGTTGTTCCTTGAAAATAATTTTTTATAACTGTTTCTCCTCCAAAACAATCAAGTAGTGGTTTTACCTTTTCTTCTAATGGTGCATTTGGATTTTTAACATATCCAGGAAATTGAATAACAGAAAACTCAGGTAATTGTTCTTCCATTAAATAATAAAATTATTAATTAATAGTTTTATCAGTTTTATTTTCTTAATACCAACACTTTATAAAAAAAAAGAATCAATTCATTCTAGAGAAATACATATTCATTGAATTTGAATAAACTTTGTTAACAAAATCAAATAAAGAAATATGTTTAATGCTTGACATGATTATTGCAATATCAATAATATTAGATGGTTCATTTCTTCTTTGAACATATTTATTTTTTTGATACTTCTCTACTTTGACTCCAAAATCTTTCTCTTTCAAATATTTAAATCCTGCAGATGTTTTTTTAACTCCACAATAAGGACAATCAGTTTCAATATGAAGACGTTCAATTGGTATTTGTTTCATAACATTTAATAACTCAATTGTTTGTAAAGAATTCCCTGTAACACCAATGTCCCATCCTTCATTTAGTATTTGATTCATTTCTTCTTCTGTTCCGTCAAAACAATGAACAACTCCCTTACAACCATTATATCCTAACTCTTTATTTAATTGACATAAATCTGACCAAGACTTTCTACAATGAAAGAAGAAAGGTAAGTGAGGGTATTTTTGATGAAGAATACTTAATGTACGATATCCATTAATTTGAGTTTCTTTATCAGAAAATTGAAGTCTTTCATAATCTAACCCAATTTCTCCTATGGCTACAACTTTATCAATATTTTTTTCACATAATAAAAGTAGTTCATCAAAATACCCTTCTTGTTTTAACTCATTTGTACGAGTTGGATGAACACCAACTGTAGTGACTAATTTAATGTTAGTTAAGTTTTGGTATTTGTTAATGATTTCAATAGCTTTCTTAAAATCGTTAAGGCAACCAGATGTAATGATGATATGACTTAATCCATTTCTTTCAGCACGTTGAAGCACAACATCAATATCTTCTTCGTGGTAGTGTTTTCCGTGATAATCACCAAAATAGTTGTCATCAGTCAAATTTGCTCCAATATCAATAAATTGTTGTGCCATTTAGTTAATATTACCTTTCTTTTTTTTTTATTCAAGTTTTAATAGAACTATTATATAATTAAAAACAGAACTAAATATTTATTATTCTAATTCTATGAGTATTAGTGATTTAAAAATTTGGATTTCATTGTATTATAAGAATGTTTTAATGTTAGTTGGTCCAGAATTAATTATTACTCCATTAGCACTAAAATATGCAACAACATATTATGGATGTTTTCTTATTTTTATTGCCTTATTAATAAGTTTTCTTACTGTATGGTTAACTTATAAACTTAATTTAAAAGCACAGTTCGATAGTATTTATGAAATTGCATGGAGATTTGGAGGTAATTCATTACGTACATTTACCAAAGTAGTACAATTAATTTATAACTTAGTTCAAGTGTCAATATATGTAACACTAATTTCTGCATTACTTGAATTCTTATTAAATCATGCTCGTGGAGAAACTCATGGACTTCTTATGACATCAAATGAAGTTCTTAAAATAAGTATTCATTTTATAGTATTTATTCTTTCTATTCTCTCATTTTCTCCTTTAATATCTAAACTCTCAGTTCATTCTCGAGTATTATCTGTTATTGCATATATCTTATTATTAATATCTTCTATTGCACATTTTATTCATTTTAAATTAAACCCAGATTATGAAAGTATTAAAGAAAATTTAAAAGTACCAAATTATACTTTTGGTGATGGATTCTCTATTTTCCCTTATTTTATTTGTATTTTCGCTACACATAATAATCTCCCATTAGTTTCTCCTTCAATTAATGCATCACCAAATGTTAAATTTAGTGCTTTACTAGCTGCCTTATTAACAATTGGAGTTTATGCAATTTTATATGGTAGTTTTGTTTATAATACATTATTTTCTGAGACACATGCTATTCCATTATTATTTTATCCATCAAACTTTTATGACACAAATAATATTCTCTTTACTATTGATGTTTTTGTTGCATGTTTATTTATTTCAACATTCTTCTTAGCAGTTCCATCATTGTTTACTTTTATTCATGATCTTATAGATGAGCAATTTTTCAGTGAATGGCAACCATCATTAATTAGAAGGGCTGTCATTTGTTTAATATTTACTTCCTTTGCTGGAATGCTTTCAGCATTATTTTGGATGGATGATATTCAAATTGCTTTTAATGGAGCAGTTTGTGGAGTTATAATGATTTATTTCATCCCAGGTATTGTTTCTTTTGTTTATGGTGGTAAAATCAAAGTCATTTCTTTAATTGTTGTTGTACTAGGTATTATATGGTTCGCTATTGGTATTGTTTATGTTGCCCTTAGTTTAGTTCTTGGAGTGTCTGATACAATAGCCAATGCACGTTTATAATGTTACTCTAAGATTAGTACTAAATCCAAATTATCGAAAGAGAAATGGTTTTAATTATAATTCATTTTTGTTTTGTTTATTCAACTTTTCTTCTATTTTTTTAATTGCAACCACAATTACATGTTTTTGTACGATTGATATATCAATATACGATTTATGTCTTATCTAAACACGTAAGTTATATCTGTTTTGTTATTAAAACCAACAAGTAATTTAAATCATTTGAAGTATTCTATTTAATATTATCTTTTATTCATAAGCTAATGTTTTCTAAAATTATTGTATTTGATTATATGATGAATTTTATTTCTTTTCTGGTTAAGAACGAATAAGAGGTTTAAAGGTATGTTAGTGAATTTTGATTTTTTTTTGGAAACTAAGCTTACTTGTTATTTTGTTTCTCCACCTAATTTATTGGTGATTAAATAAATAGTTTGAGGTGAGTTTGGACCGTACTAATAACTAAGGAATGGCGCAACGATGTACCATGTGTTATGAAAGAAATTAAAAAGAATTCTTTAGTATTAAATTTTCATTTATGAATTATTGAAAAATGTTAATTCTTGAAGTTTAAAATTTATGAAATAATAGATATGGTCTATATACAATTAAAGAAGAAAAAAAACAAAGGATAACAATCAAAAGATACAAATATCATAGTATTATTTTATCTATCCTTTCAAACATTTTGTTCTATTTTTAACTTTTTCTTAGTGAGTTTTAAACGTTTATGTCCTGAAATAACTTTTTCAAAGATATTTCATCAACTTCCAATTTCATTTTTATTGTTCATGACAGAAAACAAAGAGAGAGTATGTTTATATTGTAGTAAACTTGTTTCATTTACTTTTTGTAAAGTGGCATTATCATTATCAATACAACTAAATCTTTATTCTTATTTAAAAAGATTTGATTCTATATTACAAAGAATAATAATTTCTACATTATTTGGTTGTTTAATAAATGCAATGGATGATTTGATTTTTAAAGGGATATTGACTATTGATTGTGAAAATATTATAATACAGTTTTTAATAGCTATAGTATTACAAATAGAACCATTTTCAAAATGGCTTCAAGACACACCTATCATTACTGATATACTTACTATTATTTCATCATTAGAAATAGCTACAGGTTTGGTATCAAAATATATACTAAGAATAAGAGATGGAGAATGTACAATTATTTGTTTCTTGAATGGTCTTTTTGCAGGTTATGGAACAGGTGCATATTTAACAATACTTAAACTAATATTTGGTGTTCCACTTCCGAAAAAAGGAGGAAAGATAATACCATCTGATTTTATAAATGGTCTTTTGTTTTTAGTTTTATTTCATATTGTATATTCATGGATTTCTTTATTTTCTGTAGAAATGCTTACTGTTCTTTTTGCTATTGAAAAAGCAGCAAACAGTATCATTTTACGGCATTATGGCTTTTCTATAATAGATTCTATTTTGTAAAACTTTTTATTTTTAAAAACTAAAAAAATTTAATAACTAAAATGAATAACGAAAGAACACAATATTATATTGATTATGATGATTATTCATTTCAAAATAAAGAAAAAATAATATTTGATACATCAGTTATGGAACAATATATGAGTATGAGTCTGTCAAAGTCATTTGAAGATCAACACAATCAATTAGAATTACCACCATTAACATTTTGTTATTTATTAAAACCAGGAGAGGACGTTATCAAAGTAGATGGATTAGAAATTAGTCAAATGGGAGATCCTGGATTAAAGTTTCAAGAATATATCCTTCAACACATAGAACCATCTAAATCATATGAAATAGCAATTTGTCAATCAATTGGAAGAAGAGGAAAAATGGAAGATACTGTTCTTGTAGATTGTTCAAGTATAGAAGGGACTGATATTATTGGAGTATTTGATGGTCATAATGGAAAGGATGCAGCTTATTTATGTACTGAAAATTATATTAAAACATTTAAAGAGAACGAAGGAACTTTTAAAGAAAAACTTATTCAAACTCATAAACAGTTACATGAAAAATCATGCGAAACAAGTAAGTCTGGAACAACATCAACAGTAGCATTTATTGATAAAGACACTATAAGAATTGCTTATTGTGGAGATTCTCCTGCATATATATATAAAAATAATAAAATAAAAAAAATTACTAAAGAACATAAAGCAACAAATAGTGCCGAAGTAGAACGTATTGAAATGAATGGAGGAGTTGTTTTTGGTATGTTTGGAGTTAAAAGAGTTAATGGACAAATTATGGTAACCCGAAGTATTGGAGATCCTTCCCTTCATCCACCATTAACAACTGAACCTGATTTTATTCAATTAGAAAAAAAAGGTATTGAATTATTATTTTTAATGAGTGATGGAATTACTGATGGTGTAACTGAGAAAGAATTAGAAGAGATTATTAATAAGAGTGGAGGATTGTTTAATATAGCTTTTGATACATTAAAATTAGCATATGTAAATGAAAGTAGTGATAACTTAACATTTATTGTAATAAAAATCAATTAAAATTCTTTTTAACAACAATCATTCTTATTATTATTTAATATAATAAATATTTTTATTATTGAACATGTCGTTTAGCTGTTCCAATTACACATGTATTTACTTTAGTTGCAAATCTTAATGAAGATATTGTTTCTAATGTATCTTGTTGGTCAGATGAAATATTAACAAACATTAATGTTTTTGAATCACTTCCAAGACAATTTTGAAGAAGTTCTGTTAATTTACTATTTCTATATGGAATATGACTATCTTTATTTGCAATAGCAACAATAACATCACCTAATGCACTTAAACTTTTATTAATATTTTTTGTTTCTTCTAATCGTTCTCCTTTTGCTCCACTTTCATCTAATCGTTCACTACCAGCCAAATCTACTAATGTTAATCCTCCAAATCGTTGTTCATTTGACCCAATATTTCTTCCACATAAATCCATCATAAAAATTGAATGTGATCTTGAAGATTGTGCATTACATTTAGTTGCTGCAACTGCTCTATTCCGTGTTGCTATATTAATAAGATGATCAACTTCTTCTGCTTCAAAAACTTCAATAACATTTGCTTCTGGTAATATTACTAATGGCCCATTATATTTAATTTGAAGTTTTTTTGATTCTTCTCCATTTACTAATAAATCAAATATGTTGTTATTATAAATTTCAACATATTTAACATTAATTTTAAATTGCCATCCTAATGTTTTTAATTCTTCAATTGTTGTAAATATTTTATGAACAGTAAGTGGAATCATTCCAGGTTTATCATTTGTTCCTTCCATTGTGTAAGTTTTCCCACTCCCTGTTTGTCCATATGCAAAAATACACGTTTGATATCCATCAAGACTTGACTGAACTAATTGACTTATTTCTTCAAAAATATCTTGCTGTGTTGAATCACTATCAAATGCTCTATCAAATCCAAATTTTATTTTTTCTTTTTTTCCACTAAAGTTAATTGAATTAACGATAACAGCATTATTATCAGTTACATCAACACTAATCCCTTCATTTTTTAATGGTGGTCGAACTCTACAAAATACTCTTACATTTCCTTTTAATTCCATTACTTCATTGTGAAGTTTCCTTCTTTCTTTTTCTGAATGAATTAATTTATCTTCAATCTTTTCTAATTCTGATTGTAAAAAGTTATTTTGTTTATTAAGACTTTGAATTGTTTCTAATAGTTCTTGTATTTTATTTTGTGCATTTACATTCATTTGTTTTTCCATTTCCCAATTTCCATTAGTTGTTTCAACTGTTCTTTTAAGTACATTGAGTTGATTTTTTAATGATTCATTTTCAAATAATATTGACTGTTTCTCCATTTCAATATTTTTTATTTTTTCATTATTTAACTTTAATTCTGATTCTACTTTTTCTAATTCTCTTTTTAATTCATTTTGAACTGGGTTGGCAAGAACTTGATTTCCTCCAATAACTTCTGTCCTTTCTATCTCATCCTTTTTTAATTGTTGTAATTTTTCCTCCATTATTTCTCCCAATAACTTTGTTAATTCACTTGTGTCAAATGTTGCTTGTTTGTTGAAAGTAGGAATTGGCTTTGAACCAGATAATTTTAATGAAGTGTGCTTTGTGTTGTTTTGTGGTTTTGTAACAGTAGTTTCCTTTATCAAACGAGGTTTAGATGCATTGTGATGTCTCATTAAAGGTGTACTTCTAAACAATGGAGGGACTTTAGAAAAGTCAGGGGGTGGTTGTGCTATATGTTTATAGAGATCGTCCGAATGTGGAAGTGACATTTGATCACAAATAACTAAAATTTTCAGATTTTTTCTCTTTTGGTCAAAAGTTTTTTGGTTTTTCTAATTGGTGAGTCAGTTATATAATAATTTAAAATGAAACATTAATTTTCCAACAAGAAGACAGAAAAATTGAAGCTACATAAACGAAAAGTTTACTCTCTCATGTTTTGCTCATAAAACAGTACAGCCAATTTATATTTTTTAATATAAAATCCATGAATACCTCATTAAGTTTTATTCTTTACCAAATCATCTTTTCATTATTGTCATAACTCTTTTCTTTAAAAAGTAAGAATCTCTAAAACTCTTCTTTTGTCAGACAAAATAAATTAACTGTTTTTGAGTCTTTTATGATTCATCAAAGAGAGATAAGAGAATAATGGTACAAAGAATTAACAGTCGAGAGAATAATACAATTTTGTTCCAAAGATAGTATAATCAGAAGTTAATAAAAATGACGTGTATACCATTATGATTGTAATGCTAAGTAAAAAAAATTAATTTGAACTTAAAAAAAAACCCTATAATTTAAGATAAAAAAAAAAGAAAATAATGAACTTTAGCTCTAACTTTTTTTAGTTTTTAAAATTAAATACCAAATCCCAAAAAACCCTTAGACTATATAACACAGAGAAATAATCTTAAAAAAAACATTCATAATGGCTGCCGAAGGAGAAGCTGCACCAGCTCCAATTGTTTTCAATCTTGATTCATGGAAAAGAACTTACTCAAATGAAGAAGTCAGTGTTTCTATCCCATGGTTCTTTGATAACTTTGATGCTAAGGAATATTGTGTCTATTTCTCCAAATATAAGTTTGAACTTAATCAACCAATGCAATTTATGGTTAGTAATCTTGTTGGAGGTATGTTCCAAAGACTTGAAAGATTTAATAAAATTGCTTTTGGTTCAGTTCTCATTTTCGGCAATGAAAAACCATTCCAAATTGAAGGAGTTTGGGTTTTCAAAGGAACTGAAATGCCAAAGGAATTAAATGACTGTGATGATGTTGAACTTTATGATTGGAAGAAACTTGATCTTGTTGCTGATAAAGCTCTTATTACTGAATATCTTGCATGGGAAGGAGATTTTGGAGGAAGAAAAGACTTCGATGGTAAAGTTTTCAAGTAAAAATTGATTCCTTTTTTACTTATATCTAGAATTTTTTTTGTAGTATTCGTAAGGATATGGTATGATAAATTATTAACATAGAAGTTCTTAATGAATTTTTCAAAAGAAAAAGGAAAAAAAAATAAAAAATAGGAAAACGGGTTTTGGAGAAGTAAAAGAACCCAATCTTAAAAAAATTCATAGTTATGTCAACGAATAGAAAGGTACAAAGTGATATCGATAAAACTCTCAAAGTTATGAACTCAGGGTTTGCAGAATTTGATGAGATTCGAGAAAAACTAGACGAGACTGAAGGAGGGCATCAACATGAAAAAGTAGAAGCGGACCTTAAGAAGTCGTTAAAAAAATTACAAAAGTGCAGAGAACAAATTAAAGGATGGTTACAAACTGAAATTAAAAATAAAAATCAACTAACAGAAGCTAAGAAACAAATTGAAGAAAGAATGGAAGCATTTAAAGAGATAGAAAGAATTAGTAAAATTAAACCTTACTCAATTGAAGGATTAGCACGAGTAAGTGATAGTGGGTCTGATCAAGAACAAAGCTCGGAAGAAGAACAAACATGGATTGAACAAATTATTAATAATTTAGAGAGTCAAATTGAAGATTTAAATAGAGAGAAAGAGCCACAAAAAAAGAAAAAACAGTCTCAACAAAAGAAAAATCAAATTCTTAAACAAATTTCTATGCTTCAAAACCATATTGAAAATTTAAATATTATTGATAAGGCATTAAAATATGGATTTTTAGATGATGAAGATGTTTGTTTATTATTACTTTAATATAAACACTTTAAATTTATTTAATAGGTAAATGAGTTCCAAGAAGAAGTTGAGATGACTGTTGAAAGTAAAATAATTACTAGTGACGATAGTATTGAATTATACAAACGGTTTGATTTAGAAAGCTTAAAAATGCAAATCCAACAAGAAGAATTAGAAGAAGAAGAACGTAGAAATAATGAAATACAAAAAGAACAACCAGAAAATGATGAAAATAATATTACTCAACAACACAAAACTAAACAACCTCAACTTTCATTAAAAGAAGTTCAATCGTCTCGGGCTACTCAAACAAAAAGTTCTCAACAAACTGTTAAATCATCAACGCAACAAATCAAAACAAGTCCAAGTCTTGTTCAAAAACAACCTTCTCCTCATCAAACAACAACTCAATCACTAAAAGTTGAAAATAAAAATCAAACACTACAACGAACAAGTAATACAACGACGAAACAAACAACAGAATGTGTTTCACCAGTGGTTGATGAAAAAACGTTACAAACTATCAAAGACATTGAATTTTCATATAATAGTATGATACAATTTCATCATCAACAATCTCCTAAAAGAAAACCAAGTAACTTAACGTTACCTAAATGGTTCCCAACACAACCTATTCCATTTGATTTTAAATCAAATAAAATAGAAGATGAATTTCTTATGTTTTTGTTTTATTATGCCCAGGGAACAGAGTTACAATTACAGGCAGCTGAAATGTTGAAACAAAGAAAATGGAAGTATCATAAAGGATATCAAAAGTGGTTTAAAAAATTAAATGATCCAATTTATACGTCGGAAGTTTCAGAAAATGGAGAATATTGTTGTTTTGAATATGAGTCTTGGAATACAGTTTCTAAGTCACATTTTACATTTTTTAACAATTTTATGGAGAATTAATATTACATTAACACATTAAAGCTAATGGAAGAGTGAACAAATAGATTTTATAATAAATTTAATACTTTGTCACCTTTGAAAAATGATATGAATTTTCTTTTAATAAAGTAAATTAAATTAAACGAGTCGTGGAAGTGTTGGGTAATGTACTGGAATAACATGTCTTAAGAAATAATAGAAATGAGCAATTAAAATGATCAGAATTTGTGGTAATATTGGAGCACCTAAAATAAAGTTTAATACCACTAATGCCCATGGTAAATACATTCTTCTAAGAGTAATTCCAAATGATAAAGAGACGATTGAGTTAGGATTAGCTCGTGATGCCGTGTAAACAAAGAGCGAAATGAAATAGTAATGTAATGGTCCTACAAATACAGAAAATGTATTTAATAAACAAAAATTAAATAATAAATAGAAAATGTAATCTGTTGTGTCTTTGTTAAAATATTCTTCTTCTAATTCTTTACTAAAATTATATAACATGAACAAATGAATAAGGAAAGAAAATCCTAGTTGTTGACAGAAAAATGGAGTAAATAATCTCCAGATTTGACCACTGGCAATTTGTTCTTGGTCAAAATAACACAAATAAAAAAGGTCTGGATAAAAGACACCAACAACTGAAAACGATAATGTAGTAAAGAATAATACTCGTGTGACGATAGGAATAGAATAAAAGAACTGTGAGAATGATGATTCCTGATACTGCATATTTTTCTATTGTTTTTTTAGTTTTTTTATTTTTTTTTTTTTATAACAAATAAAAATGGTGATGATTTTTTATTGAGATAGATAACATTAATATTAACTGAATAATAAAAAATCTATATGTCAATTCTTCCTGCTGCAACATATTGAACATGTGGATACCTGTCTTTAATTACAAGGAGGTTTCTTTGATAACCATCAGAAATGCGTGCAGACTCTAATTTAGTAATACATTTATTGAAATTACCAACATTAATTCTAACAAAACACTTTTTTTGGTTTTCATTTCTAATACAAGAAGGGAATTTAACTCCAATAGCTTTACAATAGTCAGTAAATAAAATGCTGCTTCTAATTGAAGGATAACCCTTAAGTATTTTTACATCTTCTCTTTTTTCTAATTTATCACAAAAGATAGTTAGCAATAAATCGTAACGAACAGTGAATCTTAGCTTTATCTTTTTTATTGAATCACCTTCTTCTTTATCATCTATTGTATCATCATCATTTATTTCATCAGTCATTTCAATTGGATCTCTTTCGCTTTCAATCATAGAGAATTTATTAATCTGTTCTTCAATTGTTTCTTCATCGGTTTCTTCCATTTTAATTTCTTTTGGTTCTGGTGGAATAACTTGTTCAGTAGTTTCTATTGTGGTATTTCCAATTTTTTTATTAATTTGTTTTAGTACTTCTTTATTAATTTCGTAACTACTTCTAATTTTTGCGTACTCTCTTGAAGCGTTTTGTACTTCAATTCTTTTATTCTCAAGTAACTTTTTTAATGCATTGAGCTCTTCCTTCTTTTTTTCATTTTCTTTTATTAATCTTTCATTTTCATTTCTTATTGTAGATAACTCTTTTTCTCCAAGTCTGAATGAAACATATTCTTCAATTGAAATATTAACTTGAGGTTGTTGCATTGAACTGATTTTTAAGATTGTTTATTGAGAAGAATGTTTTTTATTCTATTTTTTCTTTGTTTTTGAAAATAACTGAAAAATGTAATTCTATTTGTAGGTTTTTTTCTATCAAAATCCAACATTTCATAAAACAATTTTAGTTTCTTTTTCATCACAGGAAGTTATCTTTAGTAAAATTGATCACTACCTTTTTTCTTAGCTAAATATTATACTGTAAAGAGTCATTTCATGAATTTCCATAATTCAAGTTTATAAATATGGAGAAATTACTATTTAACTGGGTTTAATATATTCTATTTTCTTATTATTTTCTAATACATCTATTTTTTTATATGGTATTAGAATTTATTGAATAAATCAATATTCTTTCATAATTTGAATAATTATATTCAAAATTCTTAATAAATTTTAATTATAGTTTTAATGATAATAATAGTCTTAATAATAAATGATGTATTAATTAATTTCAATAATATTTGATTATTTTTACATTGTTAGTTCTCTATTTTATATTATTCTTTATTCAATCTCTTTACAATTATTTTATGAATATAATTTAATTCATTATTGTCTCGATAAATTACAGATCGTTAATAATCATTTCTTATGACTCATGTTTTAAAAATAATTTATATTTTTGTGTTACTTCGATAATTGTGAGATTGGTTTGTTTATTTTAGTATGTTAATTTATAATTAATTTTCTAAAAATTATTTTAAATTTTGGAGTAACATTTTTTAATCATTTATATTAAAATATAACTGAAATATAATTTGTATGTAATTACTGTAATAAATGCTATTACATAAACAATTCATTATTAAAGAGGCATTGATAAATTTATTCATTTAAACTTCATACGTCATTGTTGATGGATATTTTTTACAGATATTCTCTTCTTAATTCAACTAAGAATGAATCAAAAAAACGTAAAATAAAGCACTAAAAAGAATTAATTGTATTTTAAGAAAATTACACCAAATGCAGTAAGAGGACAAGTACCAGAATAAGATTTACCAGTAATTAAATCAGTACCTTTTTCACAATTAACATCATAAGAATATGTCCCAACATTAATCATTACTTGGACTTTATTATTTTCATATATTTTATCAACTTTATACAAACCTTTATCGGTTTTCTCATTTTGGATTGTTCCTTGATATAATGCAGGATTGGAAGCTCTAATTTTCATTAATTTTGCAGTAAAATCATGAAGAGCTTGTTCATTTGAGTCAAATCCTTGAATATGTCCATCACTTCTAGCAGCATTATCGTTGTAAGCTCCTCCACAATCTCCTGGGTTATTATAACATTCTACAAGATCTCCAACTTCATCTCCATAATAAATAGTAATTGGTCCAGTGTATGAAGCAAGGAATGCAATTGCAGCTCTATGTCTACCCCAATAATCATTATTGTCTCTACCGTATCCATATTTCTTTCTAATTAAATTACCAAATCTCAATAGATCATGATTTGTCATAAACATATTTGGATATGCATACTCTGGATATCCTGATGTGAATATATTCTTTAAGTTTTCAGCGTCATACCCTCCTTTTCCTGATTCTTCACATGCTAGTGTTTGAACTAAATAATACCTTCCTGGGAAATGGAAACATGATCTAAGTCCATACCCACCAGAGGCATAATATCCCCAATTATTAATATTATCAGCAGAGTCCCAAATTTCTCCAACCATATACCCAAGGATTCCCCACTGCTTTCCTTGATTCTTTCTGTTATCACATGTTGACTCAATAATTTCTCTAATATCTGTCCAATAGTTTTTGTCTTGATTTTTAGTAGAAACTTGATAAGCTTGATCTAATCTCCATCCATCAATTTCATAATTATTAATCCAATAAGTAGCAACCTCTTTATAAAACTCTAATGACCCTGGGTAACTAACTGGATTATTTCCTCCCTCTGGATATTTTCCATTTGGACTAGCTGCAACATTTCCTGATTTGTGATGTCCAAATACACCGTCAAGAATAACATATAATCCAAGGTTATGTGCCTTATTAATTAACTCATGAAGTTCATCGTTTGTTCCAAATTTTGGATCTACATTAAAGTAGTCATAAGTATAATATCCAGTTGAATCTAATTTACTTCCTCCATTTGAGTTAAAGACAGGTGTCATCCATAATGCGTTCATTCCTAAATCTTTAATGTATTGAAGAGAATTAATAATACCTCGTAAATCACCACAATGTGTTGATGGTCCATATCCAGTACAATATCCTCTACTTGAATCACCATCTTGGAATGAACTTACCATAACCTGATAAATTCTAAGGTTATTGAAGACACTTGTATCAATAGAAAATACAAAAGTAAATAATAACAAAAAGGGTATCAACGTCATAGTAATGAACGAAGTCAAACTAAAATAAAAGAGAGTTTTTAGTATTACTTGGAGATATAATTAAAATTATTACTTTAAAAAACTAATTTTTATAAAAAATATAAAAAAAGAGGTTAACTTATCTTATTGTTTAAAAATTAAATTTAACAAATAAAAATAAATATTAATTATAAATAATAAGACAGAAGAGTAAATTATTTCTTTGATTGAATCTTCTTCTTTGGTCTAAGATCACCTGAATGTCCACATTTCTTCTTTCTGCAAGTAGTTGCTCTAAGTGGAAGACGAGCATAACATCTTCTACAAATCATTTTATCACAATTGTATTTTCTAGCAATAGCTTCTAAGGCTGGTTCAATACCCATAGGATGAACTACAACTTTTTAAGTTCAAAACAGGGTTGATATTATTAAAATTAAAAAAATAATAAAAAATTATCATTTATTTATTTAATAAAAAAAAAAAAGAAACAAAAAACATTATTTTAACAAAAATGAAGAATAGGTAATTCAATAAAATTAAGAAGATTGGTTTTCGTTACAACATAAAGAAAAATCTTTTCTTTTTGAAACTGAAATAATTTATTACTATGGGAAATACTATTAGCCTCAGAATAGTTAATGAACCACAATCAATAAACTATAAACAAATTCTTGAGAAATGTCTTAAAAATTTTCCTACTTCAAGTATTGATAATGTTCATCTTGCAAATACCTTATTTAGTCGAATTCCTAAACCATTTACTCAAAGAATATTTAGTATTTTCCCTGAAAAAATTTCATTTGAAACTGTTGTTGCTTTAGTGTATATATTTATGGTTTCACCTCGTCATACCCGTGCATGTTTTATTGTTGATTTATATATAGGAAATAAAAATCAATTAACAAGAGATCAAGTTTATCGTTTTTTTTATGATTTAACAACCGAAACACACTCAAATATAGACATTACAATTTTACTTGAAGATTTTGTTTCACAAAATAAACACAAAGACTACACTGATACAGATCTTATTGATTATCTAACGTTTCACATCAATATTGAAAAAGTTAAAAATCTTCCTATATTTAAATGGATTATTAATGGTAGTAAAATGCCTAAAAAAGGATATCCTTTAATTGAACCAGAAAGAACAGTTAATGACCTTTTGCTAATGTGGGATGTAACAAAACCAAAAATTTCTACTTTAAAACATTCTAAGGTAACAAGTAAAATTATTTCTACATACGCAACTATTGATAGTTTATGTAATTTTAAAGAAAGGTCAATTAAAGAATTGAGAGAAATTTACTACTTATTACATCCATTAAAATATACATCTAAAGGAATTCAAATTCAAACAGTCATATCAGTATTTGCTCTTAGTTTAAATCGTTCAATTTTAGTTCCATTAACAACATTAATAAAGAATGAGAAATATAATGAGTTCTTTATTGCTATTACTTTCACTACAAAAGTTTCAAAAAATGAAAAATTTCAATTTATTAGAGAAATATTGAATCCACCAAAAGAAGGCATTGTTAATAAACAATTCGTTACTCCAATTGTTGAGTCTATTTCACTTTTTTATTCTGTTGTTTATAACTCAGTAGGTGAATTTAATTTACAAAATAAAATTATTGAATTTATTTGGGAAGAATTAAAAAGTCTAGGAGAACAATTTACATATGACACATTTGAAGATACATTTTCTTCTAATAGTAATTTATATACTTTGGTTGATCAACTGACACAAGCCACTACAGTACTTCATGGTGTTTTACCAAAAAAACTAGAAACAGAGGCACAAGTCTTTAATGCTCTAATGAGTATGTATGAACTAAACAAAATGAAACCAGGTGAAATCGTTGTTCTAATTCCATCAAGCTGGTTTTCAAAATGGACTATGATGCTTAATTCAAGTAAAAGAGAACCTTTAGAACGAATTAATTTTAATTTACTGTTAGATGATAAAGTTGCAGTAACTCTTAAACCAACTATTACAGAAAGGGATATTATTCCTCTACACCCAGAGGTATTCTTAGTGATTAATTCATGGTATAAACATGAAGGAAATGTAATTGAAAGAAGGTTATATTATAATCAAGAAAAGAAAAGAATAGACATAGAATTATTTCCGTTAAAATTATATTCATTTATTCATATAAGAGGAGAATTAGAAATACCTTCAAATACTTCACACATTGAGATATTATTAATTTCCAGATTTGCTTCATTAAGAGAGTTACATAAATTATTATGTACTAAATATAAATTACCAATTAATAAAACACGAGTATTAATGTTTGGAAAATCAAATATCCCCTTAGTTGTATCAATTGATGATGGTATAGAAATTTATCAATATTTTAAAGAAGAGTCATGGGTTTGTCTTGAAACACTTAGTGTATATTCAGAAATTCAGAATGTAAATGATGGACTAACTTGCATTGGTACCCGTGGGGGTGAGTATGGTATTTTTAATGAAGGGAATACATCTTATATTAGTACTGTTATTCAATGTCTTTCACACACTCCTTTAATTCGAGACTTCTTTTTATCTCAATCCTTTAAAGAAGATACGACAAATGGACCATTGAAAAACCTTGCAAATGCATTCTCAAATTTGCTATATAATTTATGGAAACCATCTAACAAACCAGTAATTGTATCAATCAAAGAGTTTAGAGAAGTTTTCATCAATTTAACTCAACAATTTAATGACAAAGACCAACATGATGCTATGGAATATTTAACGTATTTATTAGGTTGTCTTCATGAGTCAGTAAATAGGAATTCAGGATGTGGATTACCCTATTTAGAAATTCCAAATGAAAGTCTGAAGATTATTGCTCAAAATGCATGGAAAGAATTCAATACATTAAATCAATCAATAGTCACAGACTCATTTACTGTTATGACTAAGAATAAAGTTCAATGTACGTCTTGCAATCATATAAGATATCTAATGAATCCATCCAATATTGTACTTGTTCCATTACCATCTGAAAAGTTTAAGGTTATTAATTTTACTGTTGTACCTATGAATGGTCAAATTCCAATTAAGTATTCAATTAAAAGTACCCAAGAACGATTATTAGGTGATTGTCTTAAAGAATTAAGTTTATTGTGTGGTTTATCCCTTTCACATATGTTATGCGCTGATGCTCCAGGGTCAATAATTCTCAACATTTTAAAAGACTCAACTCCAATAAAAAATTTAACGAATGGAGTTAAAGTTTTTGAAGTAGAAAAATTCCCTTCCATATTTCCTGAAAGAAAATGCTTAAATTCAGTTATAACTAAGTCAGTTAAAAGACAATCAACTACAAACAAAATGGCTTATGCACCAAGACAATCAATGGAAGTTGCATTAAGAAATTCAATAAAAAATACAGTGATTATCCCTCAAACTTCATTAACACCATTAAGAATGAAGACTGAAATATCAAAGAAAGGAGTTGTTATGATTAATTGTTTACATAGGATTGTTACTGAAAACGAAGTATATTTCTTTAATAAATATTTAACTTCAGTTGTTTCCTTACCATTTATTCTTACTTACTCATATGAAGAACTTACAGTATCGAATATTTTACGTGGAATATTAATGCACGTTAGAGTTGCTCTTAGACAACTTGTTGTCCAAGAAAATAAAATATTTGTTGATTTACCAACAACATTTAATATTGAATATTTATTATCAAAAGGATTAGAACAATTACCATTTGATTTAAGAGTAACAAGTTATGATGGAAAGAATTGTTTTGATTGTCCATGGGATAAAGACTGTTGTGGGTGTGTATTAACAGATAAAATTCTTCAGCAATATGACTTCAATGGGTTTACATTTACTGTTTGTATTGACTGGAAAAGTGATTCATTAATTAAATATGACCAGTCAATTGCTGACTTATATCTTAAAGATGAAAGTTTTACAGACTTAAGAAAATTACAAACAGAACCTATTCAATTAGTTGATTGTTTTAAATTACTTAATTTACCTGATGAATTTTCGATTGATGATGGTTGGGTATGTCCACATTGTCAGGCTATTTGTTCTGCAACCAGTGTTATTTCATTATACTCTATGCCAGTATATTTGATAGTTAACTTAAAAAGGTTCACTCAAAATGGTGATAAGTGGATTAAAAGTAATATCGAAGTTACTTTCCCTATTGAAGGATTAAAAGCAAAGGACATAGTTGATAGTTCAATAGAAACTACTGAAGAAGATGTTTATGATTTGTATGCAGTAATTAACCATATTGGAAAATTAAATGAGAGTCATTACACTGCAATTTGTAAAGTTGACAAAGACAAATGGCTAAAATTTGATGATAAGTCTGTATCTCAAGTTTCTTCTGATAGCATCTGTACCAACACTGCCTATATTCTTTTCTATCAAAAACGAAATGCCAATCCAGAAGACGTCATGAATAAGTATCATTTTACTGATCAAAAAGAGTTATTAAGACAGCCTTGCGTTATTATGTAAAATGAATAAAATACATAGTTAATTAATTTAGTTTCTTGGTTTCTTAATGATTTATGTTTTATAAATGATGTAACAAGAAAGAAATTATTAATAGCATATTCAATCAGTGTTTAATTAGAAGAATTTTTATTGAATCAACCCATTTTCTTATTTGAGGGTTATGATGAATTTGTAATAAGGTTAATTCCCATAGACATGAATTAATTGCACCAGAATGGTCTGGTTGTTGGATTGATGGATTATAAATACCAAATCCATTTTCTTGTTCATAAGACCAATAAAGTGTCTCGATATCTTTAAAGATCCAGTGAGATAGCACAGAGTCTATGCTATAGAAGAGTCACATTTACAT